CTTCCCCCGCCGTGGTCTGGATGATCCAGCAGATAACAGCAGCTGTTCAGGAGCAAGAGGGTAGCCATATGTTGCTGCTAACAAGCATTTACTGAAGCTGGTTTCTTTCTGTGATTCCCATGTGTCTGATTAGTGCACAGCTCCTCCGAGCAATTTTCAGAGTTTTCAACCTCCCTTTGCAATTTTTTTTTTTAAATAAACAAACCAGAATATGAGCATAAAACAGGGTGAAAAGCCACAAGATTTGGGGGTTAAAAAAAAAAAAAAGGCTAAAAAGTAATTAACTTAGTTTTTATTTTGTATTTTTTTGAGCTTGGAAACACACTGTTTACATGGAATATGCTGAGCCCGCTGTAGTCCTGCAGGCTTTGACAGCAGATGAGATGCTCAACAACCAACTGCCTGCCCTGGGTGGGGGACTGAAATTTCCACCTTCTCAAGCCAGATTTTTGGACTGTCCCCACTGGTCCAGACCCCTGCCCAAGCACCTGATGCCGTGGAGCACTCCTTGGGAGTGCGAGGGAAGGAAAATAACTGGTGGCTGTGACAGCTTGGGATGCTTTGCTGGGATTGCAGGGGTGTGTACAACCAACAAGTTCAAGTCCCTGGTGCCCAGGCTTGTGAGGATGGACTGGGCCCTTATTTCCCATTGCATTCCCAGTCAAAACAGACTGGGAAGATGTTAAACTGAGCAAGATGGGAATGATCCCAAGGCTGTGCCAGCATCTCATGCTCCTGGGAGAGGTTTTGCCAGGGACTGCAGCATCAGCTGAGCAGAGAGAAGGGAGCTGCAGTGCCGGGAACATCCCTCCCTGTGGTTAACCTTATCTCACTGTAGCTGTGGGAAAGAAAAGCAGTTTTTCCAAGCTAGTTTTTCCAAACCACGCTGGTAGGTCGTAGATAGGCAGGTGCCATGGATGGTGATTCATTCCACCCTTGGGAGGTCCAGCGTAGGTGGGGTGAATCACCCTCCAGCAGTACCTGCCTCCCTCCAGAGCCAGGACAGCTTCAGAGGAGGGCTGGAATTCACGTTGCAGGTTAGGACACCCCAAGCTGAAGTGTCAACATGTAGGTGTCTCTATGTGCATGGGGTGTCTGCTACTTCACTGCCAAAAGGCTGAAGAATGTGGGACGAATCCTACTGTTCCTACCTGGAATCTATTTTCCAGGGTTTTGCAGCTGGAAACAAGGAAAAGTTTTGCTGGAAGTAAGGAAAATAACAAGGAGATGCTGCAGCTCCTTAGTGGCAACACAAATTACAGGGCTTGCATTTGTGTCAACTGTGTTCACAGACTCATAGAATCACAACATGGTGTAGGTTGGAAGGGACCTTAAAGCCCACCCAGTCCCACCCCCTGCCATGGGCAGGGACACCTTCCACTAGACCAGGTTGCTCCAAGCCTCATCCAGCCTGGCCTTGGACACTTCCAGGGATGGGGCATCCACAGCTTCTCTGGGCAACCTGTCCCAGTGCCTCACCACTCTCATTGTAAAGAATATCTTCCTTGTATCTAGTCTGAATCTCCCCTCTTTTAGGTTAAAGCCGTTAGCCCTTGTCCTGCAGGCCCTACTAAAAAGTCTATCCCCATTTTTCGTCTAAGCCTGTTTTAAGTGCTTGTGAGGCTGCAGTAAGGTCTCCCCGGAGCCGTCTCTTCTCCAGGCTAAACACCCCCAACTCTCTCAGCCTCTCCCCATGGCAGAGGGGCTCCAGCCCTCGGAGCATCTCCGGGGCCTCCTCTGGACTCGCTCCAACAGCTCCGTG